GGTGTTGTTACCTGGGGGCATGAAGGCTCGGAGCTTTTCTGGGACACAGACGCCCTCCTCGGTCTGGTAGTTCTCCAGGATGGCGCAGATGGTGCGGGTGGTGGCACACATCGTGGCGTTGAGCATGTGCACGAATTCCACCTGCGGCAGGGGGTACACGGAAAAGGTGGGAAAGGGATGAAAAGGACACCCCACCCCACACCCCCCCGCAACCCAGCAGCTCGGCCTCACCTTGTCCATCATTTTCTTGGTCTGGCCATAGCGGATGCGCAGGCGCCGCGCCTGGTAGTCGGTGCAGTTGGAGCAGGAGACGAGCTCGCGGAAAGCGCCAGAACCAGGGAACCAGGCCTCCAGGTCCAGCTTCTTACTGGCAGCGTGGTTGAGGGAACCTGGGGGGCCAAGGGGGGAGCAGCACTGAGTGTGGGGGGGGTCCCACTCCCTGCCCTAAACGCACCCATGGCGGGGGCCGGTAGCACCAGCTAAAGGCGTGAGGCCTCCGAGGTGACCACGAGAAAGGACGTGGGGTTCCCGCTCTGTAAGGGAAGGGGCGTTTAAATGGGGTAATTTTGCTGGGAGGACTTTCCCAGAGGAGTTGGGACACTCAAAGTGTCCCTCTAGAAGGGACAGAGGGGACAGTCCCAGCATGGCGGACCCAGAGCACAGCAGAGAATCCCTGCAGGAACGCAAACATTTCCTTCCCAGCTGAGGCACCTCCTCCCCCTCGCCACTCTGGGGACAGACACCAGGGGAAGGCAACTCGGGGACTGAGAAAAAACTCGGGGACTGAGAAAAAACTCGGGGACTGAGAAAACTGAGCTGGGAAGTGGGTCAGGGCCACGGTGACACCCGAGGTGCTGGCAGAGGTGGCCGGTCTCCTCCTGGGCCAGCGCAGCACAGAGAGATGGCCCCGGTGAGGAAGCCCCTACCCGAGACGATGTTGACGATGTGGTAGGGGATGCCCAGGGACTGGTAGAAATCCTCCGCCGTGGCTATCATCTCCTCAAACATCTCCCAGGACTTGTTGTCGTGGGGCGAGGCGTAGACGAACTGCTCGATCTGTCAAGAGAAATGATTCTCCCGCCTTGGCACCCGCCTCAGAGGCAACCCCTAAATTCCCAGCGCGGGGTGGGGGGAATGTCACCCCGCTCCTCTCACCTTCTCGAACTGGTGCACGCGGAAGATGCCGCGGGTGTCGCGGCCGTGCGAGCCCACCTCCTGCCGGAAGCAGGTGGAGAGCCCCGCGTACTTGATGGGCAAATCCTCCGGTTTCAGCCACTCGTCCCGGTGCAGGGCGGCAATGGGCTGCTCCGAGGTGGCGATCAGGTATTTCTCATCGATGGAGCTGTCGTCGGCCTTCTCGCTGCCTTTGCCGATCACCTGAAGGGGACACAAGAGCCACCATCCCCCTTTCCGCAGCTGCTCCCGCACCTCCGGGACAGAAGCTCCCCAGCAGATGCACAGGCAGCTGCTCTCCCTGCCCGCACGCCGACAGGCAGCGGGGCTTTCCAGGGCCGGCGCTCGGCGCGGGGACAGCACGGCTCAGGAAAGGGAGCAGCTGCCGTTTGCTGCTTGTTTGGCCTCTTTCAAAGGCCCCGATGGCCTCCCGCCAGCGAAGCTGGGGACAAGCCACCTCCCTGTCACCGCATTGCCATGACAACAGCGTCAGCCGTGAAGATGGACTCGGGAGATAGGGAGCAGGAGGCGGCCGGAGCCTCGCCGGGGCAGAGGGGATCTGAGCCGGCTCCCTCTCCGTGGCGGGAGCTGCGTGGCGGCGGCTCGGTTGGAAGTCGGTGCCCGGAGGGGGACGGCAGGTGCCAGGCGCTGAGACACGGAGAGCCAGCGGGCAGGCGCCGAGCCGCTCACCTTGTAGAGCTCCTCGTCGAACTGGCTGAGCTGGGCCACCTCCTGCATCACCTCCTTCCGCATGAAAAAGGGGGTGTAGACCGGAGTGTAGCCCTTGGCGCGGAGGCTCTGCAGGGCGTACTGGATAAGGGCCTGCTCCAGGAACACCAGAGGACCCTGGGGGACAAGAGAAGCCACCGCTTGTCACAAACACAGCCCCCCACCCCCCTGTGCCATCACTTCTTGCTCAGCATCACCCTCCCACTGCGGCAGGGACACTGGAGTGGACCCTGAGGCTGCCCAGGCCATGGTGGCAGCACCAGCGAGGCCAACGTCCATCCCACACGATGAGCAGACCCTCCTGTCACTGCAGTGAGCTCAGTCTGGGGAGGGAGAAGCCAGGAACCCCGTCTCCTCTTCGTTGCCCTCAGCTCTCCCTCTGGCTCCGATCATTTCCGTGCCCCCACGGGGTCTGGGCTCGCACCTTAAGGAAGTAGCCCCGGCTGCCTGCGACGATGGCCCCCTTCTCCCCCTCGTAACCATCCACCATCACCACCAGGTCCACGTGGGAATATTTCTTCCTGCAGCTGCAGTCACCCCACACCCGCTCCACTTTGTTGTCCACATCCTGCACAAAGACGGGAGAGAAGAGGAAAGGGAACTTGTCACCTCAGCTTCCCAGGGTGGCAGCCACACCAGTTTCTCCATTGCACTGGGCCCAGTTTGGGATCCCACACTCCAGAGCTTGGAACCCCAAGTCCTAATCTCGGCCAGTCGCTTATTATGCGGCCACTTGGCAGCCAGCCCAGCCCAATTGTGTTCCCCCAGCAAAATATTCCTGCTGGATGAATGAAAGCAGCGGAGGGAGATCCCAGCCCCCCGGCTGGAAGCAAGTTTCCCATGTATTCCCCCAACAATGGCCATGTCCAGTGTTGTCTGAGTTGCTCTTTGTCTGCTCCCAGCAGGAAACGCTGTCTTGTCATGCAGATTTCATTCACCGCCCGCCCGCTGATCTCGGCTTGGGGGACCTCCCCACAGCGAGCCCCCCGCTTGCCGGCAGTTGTCTGGCTTTGATGAACCGTCGCAGCCGGCCCCGGGTTCACTCTTGTCCCTACCTCGTCATTGCTGATGGGCACCGAGGGGTGGAGGAGGTTCCCGATCTCCCGCAGGCTCTCGAAACGTTCCGCCTCCAGCCTCACGCGCTCGGCATCGCACTTGAGGATGGCTTCGTCGATGAGGAGACGGACTTTCTTGATCTGGGACACCTGAAGAGCCTGAGCAGGGACCCGGGTCAGGTGGGGAAGAAACCGCCAGGGAGAGGGGGCTGGCAGCCAAGGGCCGTTAATCACGGACCAACACGGCTTCTGGAGCCAACCCGTGGACTGAACACATCAAACAACAGCCCAAAGGGACAAAGGACCGACATAAGTCAGGCTCACGGCATCATACAGCGCCCGGCAGGGATGGGGGGGAGCAGTCAGCTCCTGTGGCAGCAAAAGCCGGCCAGCGCCACGCTCATTAAACATCGCAGTTAACGAACCGGGAAGGAGACTGGGCAGGGAGGGACTTGCAGAGGACACATAATGGCTGAGGCTGCTCAAATCTCCCAGGGAAGCAGAGAACAAGCCCTGGGCTAGTGAGCTGCCATGGGCCAAGGCTGAAACGGCCTTCAGATGAAGGACACTGAGCAAGAGCTGGTCACTGCTGTGCGGGACAGAGGGAAACAAGGATCCTCCTGGCAGGGGGTTCAGGCAGTGCCCCCTTGCTTGGTGCTGGGGCTTTGGGCACCTCACACCGCCCACTTGGGCAGTTACAGGCGAAGCTCTGGATGAACTGGGTGGCCCAGCAGCACAGTGAGGGGAGAGGGGGTCAGACTCACCCCCAGGACATCGATCGTGAGCTCGTCGAGGTTCTGTGCGCTCTCTGGTATGGACTCGTCCGTCCCCACTGGCTCTTTTTTCTGTAGAGGAAGGAAAAAGAAATCCCAGCAGGGTTAAAGAGTAAAGCTCCAGGGTAAAAATATTCCTTGATGATGTGATGGAGGGGCCTGGAGAGCAGAGACCTGGGGGAGATGCCACCAGTTAGTAACGTCCCACCAGTGAATCGCTGCCAGCACCGCCTGCCTTCGTGCCTCACCTTCATCTTGTCTCCAATGGTTTTGCTGCACAGGTTCTTCAGCTTATTCAAGTTATCGGCACGAAACCTGCCTAGAAAGCAGAGAGGAGGGAGCAGTCAGCCAGTTGTGTGAGGGGGAGCAGGGCTGGGATCCCCATCCGGCACTGAGAGGGGCCGCGAAGCCTCAGGCAGGAGCAGGAATCGGGGATGGGAGCTCCAGGAATGCCTAACGCCACCGACCCCGGGCGTTTCACAGAATCATCAAGGTTGGAAAAAAGATCCTCCAGTCCAACATGAACCTCACCCTGACTGTTCCCAACTCCCCCAGATCCCTCAGCGCTGGCTCAGCCCGACTCTTCAACCCCTCCAGGGATCCCGGGGACTCCCCCCCTGCCCTGGGCAGCCCATTCCAACGCCCAACAGCCCCTTCTGCAAAGAAATCCTTCCTCAGAGCCAGCCTGACCCTGCCCTGGAGAGGGCCAGGAGGTCTTGGAAGGACAGGGGAGGGTTTGGTGGTGTGAGAGCGTGGTGTGGAACCAGCCACGACGTGGGGCAGGGATGCGGGGAGCAGAGGGCTCCCACGCAGAGGGGTCGTTTGAA